GCCAAGTGGACTGGCGGGATGCTGGTTTTGGCTACAAGTTCATCTGAGGACAAATCAGATGCCGCATTTTCACAGAATCGACTCGGCTGTTCAATTCATCCTTCGAGGTGAAGGAAATGGATGCCAGAAGAAAAAACAATCCCACATGGCAGGTGGGTAGCAAAGAAGTTGTGTGTCCAGTCCTGACACATGCGATTTCCTGCAGCGCGAGAGTGAGCCAGGACTCTCCCAAGGTCCTGAGACCAAGAGTGGATGGTTCCCAGAAGAGGTACGGGATCCCAGTGTCTGGGAGGCAGCCCAGGCTAGCGGCAGGCACGCAAAGTCTGGCACCAGGAGGCCTGGGTTCTAATCCCAATTCTGCCACTTACCGGATGTGTGGCCTGGTGCAATTTCATTAACCTCTCTCTGCCTCAATTCTCCCATCTGTAAAATGGGCAGAATAATAGCACTTGCCTTTTAAGGCTATCTAAGGATTTAACAGATTCCTACTTGCAAGTGGCTGGCATGTGATCAGTGCTAGAGAAGTCTTAGGTGATATAAATGAGTCTGCTGTGAACCAAGAACACCGAGCCCTGAAACAAAAGGCAGAAATGGTTCTCAGTCAAGAACTTCTCTGCAGGTAAAACTGGGAGTGACTGAAGGGGACACTGCAACCACACACACAATGACTGACATGATGTCCTCATTTGCCTTGGTTCCTGTCATGTGTTGCCTGTGAAATGAGTTCCTAAGACATGCATCTTATTTTCTTATTCAATTTCAAGATAAAATTAGGGTTGTGTCCCTTAGGGAGAAGGTGTGCCCCTCCCAAAACAAGAGGCTCCCTAGAGAAAGCCTGTTTAAATCGCATATTTAAAGAGACATCAATATTTTTCTGACAGAGTATTAGTAACAATAAATAAATTGCCAAATAGGGCTGCAAACTAGCAGGACTGCTCAATATTTGAGTGACAGTTAACATCTCATGGGAAATAGCAGTGACAGCTGAACATGTCACCAATGGCACGGCCTCAATTGCACAGTATATGAGGGACTCCTTCCGGGAGACAGGGGAAAGCCAGGGCCAATGACAGCCAAGGCGAGGGAAAGCCAGGAGGTAAAGGTGGGCTGTCCACTGTGGGACAGCCTCTAGTCCAGAGCTCTGTGGCCAGGAGGGGACAGAGGGCAAGGTCCAGGGCCGAGAGTCATGGGGACAGATCTAGGCCTTCCTAGCCTTGTGTCAATGTGCTAGAAGCTGATCTGAGTGGGGAGGCAGGCAGGGCACAATTTAACACTCGTAGGGTTGACGTTGTTTGCATCAGGGAGACATTAAGGCCACTTAGTGGGGCTGATGTGGGAAAGACCCAGAAACTAGGGCTGGGCCCTGGGAAAACAACTAGCCAAGGTCAGGAGGCTGGGGCATGGGGGTAGAGCCCAATCTCTGCCATGGAGACAGGGAAGGGAGAAAAAGGAATAGAGGGGGAGGCTGGGCACAAGAGACCCAAATGGGAGACCAATGGGGCTTGGGTAAGGAGGCTGCCATTTTCAAGGGTCTACATCCAGCCCGAGGGACATGGCAGAGGTGGGAGGGGAGGGAAAGGCAGGGGCAGGGAACAGCAGGAGGATTCCAAACCCCTTCAGGCAGTGGAGCAGGGGCAGAATGAACAGGGCTGGGGTGGTTGGGGACAGAGAAAGACTGTCCACTACAGTGATGGAACCCTTGACTCTTGGAGCTTCTACCAAATTTTCATAGTAAGCTGATATACAGTCATGGTCATAGCTTAAAGCCCGTCTTCAGCTATGAAAAAGGATGCCCCAGAAGCATCTGTGTGTTAGAAATGAGCCGGTAACCCGGAGATGCAGAAAGCCAGCCTAAGGCAAACATTCCTGACATGACAGGAAGGAAACGGGTAGAGGTGCACAGATACTGGGACTTGCTGGGAGAACAAAACTAAGCAGGTATGCAGTGCCCAACCCGGACGGATGGCCCAGAGCACCTGGAAACGGCTTGTCTGTATCTCACTGACTTAGCAAGAGGGCACGACTAATCAGCAGAACCCTTGGTCAGTAAATCTTGTTTATACAAACTGTTTAAAAATGTTCTGTGGACACAAAACTTGTTAATGGACTTTTGGCTGGAGGAGAGACAAGGGACATTGATTACAGACTGCAGGGGACCATCACCTGGTATATATTTCTTTCATGTTCTAATTTTTCACAATAACCATGTTTCTTTCATAATAAAAGGCGATATTAAAACAGAATGTGTTATGGGAAGACATATAGGACTTTTTGGAATAACTTCTGGAAAGCTTGTGTAAGAGTCCGTTCATAAGGGTTTCTGGTGGCTTCACATCAATGCAGTACCCGTGGGGTGCAGAAACAAGGGAATTTTTTTTTAAGTTCTTTATTTTTGAGAGAGAGAGAGAGAGAGAGAGCATACAAGAGTTGGGGAGGGGCAGAGAGAAGGGGACAAAGGGTCCGAAGCAGGCTCTGTGCTGACAGCAGAGAGCCTGATGCAGAGCTCGGACTCACAAACCATGAAATCATGACCCGAGCCAAAGTCAGCTGCTCAACCGAGTAAGCCACACAGGCACCCCATTATTTTTATTTTTATTTTTTTTAGAGAAAGAAAGAGAAAGAGAGAGGGAGAGCATGAGCTGGGGAGAGGAGCAGAGAGAAAGAGAGAGAGAATCTTAAGAAGGTTCCATGCTCAGCGCAGAGCTCGATGTAGGACTCAATCCCACCACCCTGGGATCATGACCTGAGTTGAAATTAAGAGTGGAATGTTCAACCGACTGAACCACCCAGCCACCCCCAGAAACGAGGAAATTCTTACTAGGAGGTCAGAGTGGGGACCACACTCTCCCTGTCCCTGGCTTCTCAACTTACCTCAGGAATTAGGAATTTGCACCCTTGCTGAGGAAAGGAAGGAAGGAACCTTTTGCCCATTCCATTCTGCCCCTAGAGTCAGCCTCTCCCACTCTGAAAGAAGAATCTATGATCAGATTAGCAGGCTTCAAACCCCAGGGAGCTGCTTTTCTGCACCCAGCAGAGCTCATGTGTCAAAAATGGCATGCACCTCGACCTTGACCTCTCTAACTCGTGCAGTATCTTTGCCCTTGCCTACTGGACTCCCCCCAGAGCAACTCCTGGCCCAGAGTTGGGGGAAATATTTGAAGATGGGTTTTTTGAGGTCCCTTTGTCTTTCCTTAACCCAGCTTTACCAGCAATGAGGCTGAAGTTTCTAAAATTTTTATCTGACCTCTGGTCTATTTCTGAAAGGATTCAGAACTCATGGAGGGATGTGATTAAACGTCATATTTCTAGCCCCTCAAAAACAAAAACAAAAAACCCACAATTATCATTAAAGCAGATTGGCAGAGAAAGCTTCTGATTGGAGGAAAAGTGTCAGAAGGATTTACCACAAATAACATCAATGTAACAACTAACTGTGATATTGTGATAAGTAATATATATTTTGGTCTTCATACACTGTCTTTGGCACAGAGCTCCTAAAACCCTTGGAATTTCCTAAGTGATGAGAGAGATCATGATATCTTTTGTTATGTTAATGAGGTGACTTTTGGAAAGCCTCTAGATAACCAAAGGATGGGAGCTGGTTGCCAGGGGAACCAACCATGTGATGAGAGCCCTGGAACTTTCAGTCCTACCCACCCTCCAGGGAGGGCTGAGGGGCTGAAGATTGAGTTCAAGGAATTAATCGATCATGCCTAAGTAATTAAGTCTCCATAAAAAGCCAAAAGGAGGGGTCTGGAGAGCTTCTGGGCTGGTGACCACGTGGAGACCTGGGGAAAGGGGTGTGTCTGGGGAGGGCATGGAAGCCCTGAGCCCCTCCCCACACCCTACCCTATGTATCTCTTCCGCCTGGCTGTCCCTGAATTATATGCTTTCATAATAAACCAGTAATCTCGTAAATAAAATGTTATGAGTTCTGTGAGCTATTCTAGCAAATTAATCAAAGCCAAGGAAGGACTCTTGGGAACCTCTGATTTATAGCCAGGGGGTAAGAAGCACAGGTGACAACCTGGACCTTCAATGGACATCTCAGTCTTGGGGGACTGAGACCTTTCCCTGTGGGATCTGATGCTGTCTCCAGGTAGTATCAGAATTGAGTTGAACTGTCGGACGCTCAACTGGTGTCAGAGAATTGTTTGGTATGAGCAAAAACCCACACACATCAGAATCGGTGATCAGAACATTTGTTTATTGAGTGTTTACCAGAAGCCAGACACTGTGCTAAGTACTTTACATGGTGTGTGTGTGTGTGTGTGTGTGTGTGTGTGTGTGTGTGTGTTTTAAACTGTTATCACAACTTTCCAAAAGAGGAAACGGAGACTGATAGATACCAGGGTGGGGATTTTTATGGCAGAGCAGATATTCACACCTAAGCTGACTTCTCAGGCCACCTTCTTCTTCTTTTTAATTTTAGAGAGTGCACACATGCATGCACGGGCATGGGGGAGGGGCAGAGGGAGAGGGAAAGAGAATCTCATGCAGCCTCTACACGCAGCACAGAGTGCGACTTGGGGCTGGATCCTGAGACCCTGGGATCATGACCTGAGCCAAAATCAAGAGTCAGATGCTCAACCAACTGAGCCACCCAGATGCCCTACAGGCCACCTTCTTAAGCATCACCCATGATAGTGGGTGATTTCACCTTTTCCGCATGAGAGGGAAGTCAGTCTGCTTCCCAGGCTGGTGGGACAGACAGCTAGTACAGGTGGAGATTTGCTGCTCAAATAAGCAGTAAAAGGTGCAAAGGGTCAAGGGCAGGATAAATAAGGGCCAGGACACGTGTGCACCAGCCAAATGACTGGGGGTGACGACTGAGGCAGTCTGGGGAGCAAGACAGGCCTGGGCCATGATCCCCAAGAGAGCTACACAGAAGCAGCCCCTGGAGAGGAAGGTCTGCAGAAATCCCTCAGGCTTGAAGCTTAGGCTCACCTGTTGGCCCAACACCACAATTATTAAAATACCCTCGTTCCTTTTTTTTGCAGGCTTGGCCACAAGATCATGGACACTGGAACTTCAGGGAACCTTAGAGAGTCCTTCAGCTCTCTGGTTCTAGGGATCAGTAAATGGGCCTAGGAAGGCTGAATGAATTGCCAGAGGTCACAACACGAACTAGGGAGGGAAACCCAGGAGTTCTGACTCCCCTTCCAGTGCTCTTTCCATGGTACCACCTCAAGGCTTGGGATTCTGCCACATGCCTGGTCCTACTATTATGAAACATCTACTTTAGGTGGGGCACTGTGATAAACCTGAACTTGGGAAAAGCCCAGCTCTAGACTTCCAGTGTGATTCATGAGATTGTAGCCATGTTGTGGGATACCCCAAGCGTACGTTCAGCTCTTTGGACTGGCTCTTAAACCTTTTCAGTTGTAAAGATGACAACAAATGTGACAGAGAAACACAAGATTGATTTTCTATGTTGAGAGCTACTCCTGATTTATCCACTCTATAACTGCCAATATCCCATACCTTGAGAGACATCTATTCTAGCAGCTAAAGGTACGATCTTAACTCCCTCTTCCCCCCACTCACCTCTCCCTAACACACAGCCCTTGGACTGCAAGAGTTCAATAGTCTTCCCAAGGTCACAGAGCGAGCCAAGGGCAGGACAGATAGAGAACATCACGTCTTGACTTTCCAGGTCTCCAGTGCTAAACCTCCTCTCAACACTACCTCACCTTGCACAGATGTCTGTCAGCAGAGGAGAAAAGGTCATGCAAGCAGAAACTTCATAAGCCACCGGAATAAAGCACACACGTGGGTCTCGTCCTTGGGGAGGCCCACTGCAGGCAGATGGAGGTGCAAGAAGAGAGGTGCACGAAGCTAAGAGTGTCTCCAGGCCAGATGGTACTGATTTAACAAAGGGTCTGTTTGCAGTGACAGAGGAAGACCCCAAACTCTGCCCCTCCCATCATGCAAGCCTCCCTGCTCTTCTTTTAATAGAAGCATTTTCCCTGCCTTTCTCCCTTCCCTCCAAAAAACCTCACAAATATGTTGTGTGAAATATCAGAACTAATTAGACCAAATGGTGTTCGTATCTGTCACTGGTTTTTCTGGGGGAGAGCAGGCTGTGTCGTGGAGGGAAATTTTGTTAACTAATTAAGGACAGTTTTTAGGGGAGAGTGTCATGTCCCTGTGGGAAAGAGGGATGAGACGACTGGAGAGGGTTCTTGGATGGGCCAAGAATGGAGATAAAGGGCACAGTGACAGCTGGGTGACCGGGAAGGTGGTGTGGGAGAGACAAACAGGACTGAGTTAGCCTTGGGGGCGGCCCGTTTCATAGTTCTTTGTACAGTCAACAGAGGACACCGCTTGCACACAAGTGTAAGCACACTCACCGCACCAATGAAAAATATCCATAGGAAGGAGGAGGTAGTTTATCCGGGTTAGTACTTAGCAGTCGTCACTGCTGCTCTGACACAACCAAGACAAGGAAACTGATCTTAGTTTCTTTATATCATACAATTCTCAACACAATATATGACATCCGTAGTTACTCCAAATTTTTGACTGGAATACAATAGAGGAAGAAGAGGAAATGTTTGTATGGGCCTAGTTTGTGCTGGAGACAAACTAAGATCCTTTGATATCTTTTCTCATAGAGGAATATCTAAATAGAAGTAACAGAAAAGAGAACGTGAGGCTGTCGAGTCAGAAGAAGACAGGAGGAACTTCTAGCTGCCCTCATAAATTCAAAATAGTATCATGTGATAAAGGGAATGGATTAATTCCAGGAGATCAAACTAGGACTCACTGGTAGAAGATTATCAGGAGGAAGACTTTGATCCTAAGTAATGATTAGGACTGTTCCAGAAATGGAGCAGTTCGCTGTGGGCCGGAGGCAGCTCCCGAGCTCCTCGGCATTTGAGCCGAGCTGCCCAGCATTGATCAGAGCTGTTCAGGGGGGGCGCCTGGGTGGCTCAGTCCGTTAAGCATCTGACTCCAGCTCAGGCCATGATCTCACGGTTCATGGGTTCAAGCTCCGCGTCAGGCTTTGCTGACAGCTCAGAGCCTGGAGTCTGCTCTGGATTCTGTGTCTCCCTCTCTTTCTCTGCCCCTCCCATGCTCACACTCTGTCTGTGTCAAAAGTAAGTAAACATTAAAAAAAAAAAAAAAAAAAAAAGAGCCGTTCGCAAGAGATTCCTGCAGGCGGGCTTTGACGCTAAAGTTCCCTAAATGTGAGCTTCCATGAGTCTGTTGTGCGTCCACAACAGGCTGGGTGTCAGCTCCATGCCACCAAGATGATTTTCCCTGAGAAAGTCTTTGAAACCCTCTTCGCTGGGTTTAACAATTTGAGCCTTTAACAATTTGAGGGGGATAAACAGGAATCCTTCTGGAAATGTCAGGGTGTGCCCGTGGTCCAGGCAGAAGGTGGGGGAACAGGTGCGTAGGGACACGGCTAGAAGAAGCACCCCGCAGCACCCAGACTTACAAGGCCAGGTCGGGAGGAGGAGGGGGGAGCCGAGGACCAGGAAGACACATTTCGTTCAGCAGGTGTTCAGTCCCCCAGTCGTGCCAACAGTGTCCTTTCCACACTTCTGCCGCACGGCCGCCTCGCCTAGCCTGCAGCCTCAGCCCCACAGTGACTTCCAATGAGGTCCGCACTGAGCGGCACAGAGAACTGACCTTGCTTCAGGGGGAGGCACCAGACAAAAGGTGGGCCCCACCCTAAACTGCCTTCAAATTCTGCCTCTGCCACTCATCAGTTACATGGGCAAGTTTCTTGACCTTTCTGGCCCCTTCTTGCTCTTAAAAAGGGGTGATCGCATTACTTAGTTCATGGGGTCGTTGTGGGGATTGTGAATCTGCGTGGCGGATGAATGCCAAGAACGCACGTGACACCCAGGAAGTGCTACGTGAGCGGCCGGGTTTGCAGGGGCACTTGGCACTCTGCCCTCCAAACTGTCACCACTGTCCTTTGAGGGATCAAAGAGAGAGGCCACAGTGGTCTTGGGTTACAGGAAGGCCTCCCTCAAGCGGCCAAGAGGGCGTGTGTAAAGAGCTGTGCCAAGAGTGGAGATGGTTCCAACAGCAAATTTCAAAGGAAAACAAAACAAACCAGGGAATGATAGAAGAAAGCCCAGAGCGGAATGTTCCCCGGGGACTGGGGGACCGTCTGCATACCATATCTTTGACTGCTGTCCTTGCTCTGGAGGCCACGTGGCCATTCTGCCAGGGGCTACCCGGGAGGCCTCCTCCAGCAGCCAGACTCCTCCCGGCCCCCCGTGCAGTCATCCCCGGGGCTTCTCGCCAGCAGTGGTTTTTCTCCTAAGAACTTTTAAGCGCCTCCACGATAGACTTTGGGGGAACTGAGACGGGTGGCTTCGGCTTGCCTGGAGTCACAGCATGAGCGTGTGTCGGGCCCGGGGCCAGCATCCCCTGCTCCCCCTCTGCTGTCGCCAGGTCTCGCGGCCATGGCTCCTCTCTCTGCCTGCCGGTCTGCTCTGTATCCTTCACAAACGTTCCTTTTGCTGGACTAATACCGCTGCCCCTGCTCTTTGGCTCTGCTTACTTTAACACACACATAGATTACAGCTACATTAAAGAAGCCTGAAAATACCAAAGCAGAACTAAAGCAATTATTATAATGCAGCCCTAACAGCAGCCGCAATGAGACAGAATTAAAAATGTGCCAGTATAATCACAATTCACTGTTCCCAACGACCTTCCAGAACTGCTTTCATTTGGAAAGTAACATCCAGTCCTGAACTGTCAGATGGAAAGGAAAAATTCAATTGTGCCTCCCAGCGTGGCCTGGTCCCTGGCCACCAGGAGATCTGGCTCTTCCACGTGAAGACATCTGTCCCCTGGCTAATGCTACACGCTATCATCCATTTGCTTAGTAGGGGGCAAGGGGAAGGGACGCAGGGGCTGGGTGTTCCTTCAGTGGCACGCAGGCTGGCTTATGCCGCTCCCCTGCGTGTGTCACCAGGCCTGCCCATTCCACAATGGAGCAAATTCAAGTCTGAGCAGCACCGTGCCCTGCACATTGCGGGCACCACTGTTACAATGACAACTCACGTTATTTCAGTTGATCCCCACAGTCACCCTGCGAGGCAGATTCTATCATTCCCCCATCTGATGACCAGGGAAGCAGAGGCTTGGAAAAGTTAAGCGATGGCTCAAAACCACGCCCAGGGGGTGCCAGAGCCATGACTCAAATCCTTGTCTTCGGACCCCAGAGCACAAGATCTCACCCTGACTTTATGAAGCTGGTACCCTAACAGAAGCAAAGGAGAAGTCTGTTTAGACGGCCTTACGTTCCTTTATTCCGATGGCGGGGGATGGTTGGGGTGAACCAAGGGGAAGAGGCAGAAGCCACACCCAGCAGGAAAGGCTTCCTCAAGGAGTCAGTTCTGACGGAAGTGTCGCAGGGCGTCCGTGGAACAGAACCATTTATTCATCCCTCCTCCCCAGGTTCTGCGCGGGAGGACAGAAATAAGAAGGCAGAATGCCAGGAGATAGAGCGGCCGGTGGGGGCGGATGCAGAGAAGGTATGGGCTCCTCTCCTCTAGGACGCCCAGGAGAAAACACGAAAGCTCCATGACTTTGCCGAGCTGGTCTCTGCAGCTGAACTGAGCTTTCTGGAGCCTCACGCAAAGGCAAACCTGACCACGTCCTGCAGGGCATGCTCAGTTTACTCAGGAGTCCCAGATGGGGATATTAAGACAGAAATGGGGAAGTTCCCTGGCTCTTCGTTTGTGTTTGGTTTTCACAGACCTGCCTTCCCATCTACGAGTGGGAGACGGCTTGCATCATGTCACAGTGGACAGGAGCAGGCACAGCGGGCGGAAGGAGGGTCAGGAGCCAGCCCCTTATCTTCCTTCCTTCAAGGGGCAGTCAGCCTTTCCCCCAATTCCGGGCAGTGGGAGCCCTGCCTGATGCTGGGGAAGATGGCCTGAGCACTCTGGGTCTGGAAACTCTACAGCCTGGAATGCCTTCTGACGCGCCTCAAAGGCGTTGAGAGTTCAGAATGACTCTGTCCAGCCTGCCAGGGCCTCTGGAGAGGGTCTGGAGCCCCAAGCTGCAAGCTCTCCATGGGCCCCCTCACCACTCCACTTGAATTGGCTTTGGGAACTGTGATCCCCCACCTTGGGTTAGCAACGGTAACAAAGCACCTTACAGTTTGACAACAGTTGCATGTGGGTTCACAGTCACCTCCAGGAACCTAGGTCTAAAAGGTCATTATAAAAGTGAACTATTTGCCATACCGAGGTTGCTGATCGGCTCACCCTGCATCCCAGGTGAAGAGGCCAAAGAATCCAGGCCGAAAATTG